ACCTCTAGTAGAGTTTTGGTCTTTTGTCCCTCACACTGAAGCTGCTTGGTTTGCATAAATGGGATCCAGCATTATTTGGATGGAGAGCTGGGGGGGGGGAGGGAGGGTGGAGCAGAACATCTCTGGATCCAACTGAACAGAAAACCCAGTGAGCACTTGTCCTTGGAGTGGGGTGACAGGTGCAATGACTCAGAGCAGCCTCTTCTCATTCAATTATACAATATGAGTCAAGCAGCTTTGAGGGGAAGTCATGACTCACAGACAGATTCCAATTCTTTGAAGGAGTTGACAAGCATGTGGCAGAGGGTGATCTAGCTGATATAACGAACCAAGATACCCAAAATTCTTTTAACGAGATTTCTCACCCGTGGCTCATGCAGAAAGTGAGCTGTCACTAAGTGGAAGGGCTTTGGTTTGAAAGGGAAGCAGCATGGAGGAAAGGTTTGTTGGGAGAAAGGGCTCTGAAGGGGAGTTCCACTGGGATCCGTGCAAGGAATTGTGCTGCTCAGGGAGGACTGATGCTGAGGAGACAAAGCTGGGTGATGCCACAACACTATTCAAAGTGGTCAAGATTAAAATGGATTGTGCAGAGGTGCAGGAGGAGCTCATTATTCTTAGTGTCTGGAGGTTAAAACAGCAGATGCAGTTCACTGTTGATAAGGGCAAAGTAATGAATACAGGGAAAAGCAACTCCAGCTGTACACATACAATAATGGGCTCTAAATTAGCTATTACCATGTAGGAAGATCTCAAAGTGACTCTGGGTAGTCTTTCAAAAGCATCAGCACGAGGTTCTATGGAGGTCAAAGAGGCAACGAGAGCATAATGAGTTATTAGGAAAGGAACAGGTAGTGAAACAAACACGTATTATACCAGGGCAGTAATCTTGGAGGCCTACATCATGTGCTGATTGCAGTTCCCATCCACTTCATCTGAGAAGGAATGTAGTGTTAGAAAGGAGAGTAGAGTGGGAAGAGCAGGGACACGGAACGACTTCTTGCAGGAAGGGAGATAGCAGAGCACGACTCGGAGGCTTGTCAGATGTCAGATGAGAGTATGACATAGATTTCTAAAGTCATGAACAGCATGGGCTGTTCTCTTGTCACTGTCGTTCAAAACGTGAAGGATGGGGAATCCAATGACTGCGTCAGGCGGCAGACTCAAAGCAAGGAGAGGGAAGTGCTTTTTCATCCAGCAGATAATTAAACTATGGAGCTCACTGACCAGGATGTTGTGGGTATTTATCCTAAGGGATAAATGAATTCAAAAAGCAATTAGATAACTTCCTGGACAAAGATCTCTCTAAAGGCTATTAACCACTGTGATGTAAATACAACTCTGTAAGCACTTGCCCTGCTTCTCATTCTCCTTCCCAAGCGCTTGCTACAGACATCAGTCAGAGACAGGAGTCTGAGTCCCATGGGTCTTTGGTCAGATGCATTATGGCCACCATTACTCACTGCCACCATGGCTTCTAATGGACATCCCTGTGGAGAGCAAGGCCTTCTTTTGCCCCCATTTTCCAATGAGGCAATGGAGGGACAGAGCAGGTGGAGGCTCTCATCTCAAAGGCTCTCATCTCAAAGGAATCCCATGAGAGAAGTCCAGGTGCCCTGTGTTACCTGATTTATCTTTGACACCTGCGTGATAAAAAATGGCCATAGCATCCTTTCTTCTACATTCCCTTAAAGATAGTCTGTTCACTGTGAAACAGCTGAAGAAATTCTCTCTTTGCTAAAGCCTTTACTTCCTGCAGCCAGGGCAGCTCTAATGGCAAATCTTCTTATTCACATGCTGATTCTCTCCAATTTACGCAGAGCTTACCGTATGAAAATGAAACCAGCAATGACTTGCAAGGGTTGCGCATCCATCTAATGAGTATCAGATGGGTTGATCTCCCTCCCCCAGAGCTTCTCCCAGCTCAGGCAATTTGTGTGGCTGAATATGTTTGTTCTGATCAATTACCATGTTGCAGACACAAATACAAATACGAAGGGAAGATTACGCTCTTGCTCCGAAGCCCACTAAAGTCAGCAGAAAGGCTCTTGATGTTCACAAGAAGACTTTGGCTGTGGTTGAAAGGATAAAACTTTTTATCAGCCTCAGCGAACAAAGTGCCTTGTTAGTCTGTGACAATTGCTACACAACCCAGAATTATTTACCAGCTGCTATATCTTTGCTCTCACCTCTCCTAATGGGAGGATTAACACGTTGCTGTGGAAGGCATGTGTTCAGCAGCATCTGATTTGACAGTGTTGCCTTTCACTCGTTCACCAGTTGATAAGAAACATGCAACATAAGTGAAGATCCTATTTGCAGTTATTTTGCTGTCCAGAAACTTGCCTGTGGGGCTGAAGAGCAGGAGTAGCTATCTGGTGTGCTGCTGACCAGAAGCATTTCACCAGGATTCAATACCTTCTTCAGTCTTCAGGGCAATTAACATGAACATTCATTAAATTAGTGCTACTGGAGACATCAAGGAGGTGAGATAATTGTACCAGCACTCAACATTCCTTTGTGCCATTATCTCCTACACATGGATAGAAAATGCCGGGCCAAAATTTGTTGAGAGCTTAAGGTGGATAGAGGGCTATTCATAAGTGCCCAAGAGCTGGGCACTTATTTTCTCTGTCTTTAGCCCTGTAAAAATCAGGCTCTTGATTCAAATGAGGTACTGCTGTAATTAAATAGAAAGGATGATTTATCCCTCTTTTTGATGGACATGGAAGTTAAATAGCTGAAGTTGAGAGAAGTGGCACCTCCTCTTGCACTCATGGCACAGACCATCTCAGTCCACATGGAAAGGTATCTGAATTAGGATTTGGGTCCCAGGTTTTGTGGATTAGAGAAATGGATTTGCATTGCCTAACTCTCTCTCTGGGAAGCTTTTAAATCACTCTTCACAGCTGACAGCTCTCCCTTTCCTCACCAACTGGGCGGAGAACAAAGCAAACACAGCTAAGGAGGAAAATGGGAAATCATCTCATTTGAAAGGAAAACTGCATGATCAATAGCTTTGAATAGGGATTCCTGGCTCTCGCTCCTGGCTCTGCCATTGCCTTGTGCAAATCCCATCCCTTCTCTGCCTCTACAAAGTGTGATAAGACTTTTCCCCCGGAGATAGTCGCAAGGTATCAGGAATTAACTGGTGTCAAACTGTCCCTGGGAGAAAGATCCATCGCAAGTGTGGATAGCCTCCAAAACTGGCAGTGTGAGATAGATCCATTCTGCAGATGGTGGAAGCACTGCTGTGCAGATGACAGAGCTCTGGCACAGGGAGCAGAGAGCTGTGGGGTCTCCTCCTTGAGGATCTTCCAAAACCCCTGGTTGTGGTGCTGGGCACCCTGATCTGGGTGGCCCAGTTGGGGCAGGGAGGGATCAGAGGGACCCAGAGGTGCATCCAGCCCCAACCATTTGGTGATTCTGCAATGCTGGGATTCTGTGTGCAGGGGTTCTGCCAGTGCTCATGTCTCCCATACTGAGAGATACCAACATGGTGCACCCCAACGTGTCACTGATGAGAGCTCTCCAGCCACGACTGTGTCACTCTCACTCTTCCGTCTTCATTTATCTTCATGTTGGAGGCTCAAAATGCCTTCCTTTTGCTACCAGGATAATAAGCTTGGCCTGTTCCTACCCTGAGGGAATTAGCAGTAACATTCCCAGTAATTTAATTGCTCACACAGCTTAGAAGATGCTCACTCATTCAAACAGGATGGCGTCACCCAGAGCACTGATAATGCTTGGGTCCAAGGTCACTGTAGGGTCACTGTGAATCACACCAGCTCTTGGCCAAAACAGAGTTGAGAAACACCTTTAGATCCTGACTTTGCAAAGGGCCTAACACCACTGTTTGAGGTACAGACACATAGCTGTAAGAACAGCACTTCAAAGCAAACAGTGTTGGATGCTGAAGAAACATGTGCTCTGCCTTTATCTTCGCTTTTTTTTTCCTCTCCTGTTTACATGTTGAATCAAAAAAAAAAAAAAAAAAGAAGATAAATGCATGATGAGCCTTGATCATCCATTTGATAAAATGAGCAAGAATTCTGCCACAAACTTTAGATAGTGCTGATGAGTTGCATAGAGTCATGGAATCGTAGAATCAAGAAGGCTGGAAAAGGCTTCTAGGGTCACCTATCATCAACCCATCACCATGATGCCCACTAACCATATCCCTCAGTGCCACACCTGCTGTAGGGAACCTGCTTTAGCAGGGGGTTGGACTTGATCTCTTGAGGTCCCTTCCAACTCCCACTGTTCTGTGATTCTGATCTCCATGGTTCTTGGACACATCCAGGGACAGTGACTCCACCACCTCCCTCGGCAGATTGTGCCAATACTTGATCTCACTCTTTCTGAGAATAATTTTTTCCTAATATCCAACCCAATATTGCCCTATTGCACTGGGCAATACAGCCAATTCTCTATTAATTGATAAAGATTAGCTTACTGTAGCTGCTGTGGCAAGGGAGTCCATACATGGCTGTTAGAGATAATTCTCAAACTAGGGAACAAATTTGAAAGGAAAGTTGGCTGTCTTGGGAAACATGTTTGCATTGAATTTCTTATTGGCCACACAAAGTACTGGAGACAGGATAGAAAAAATATTTGAATCCACTGTAGAATGAAACTACCTTATGTAGAGCATGGGCTGCACAGTACATAATTGTCAAGAGGAGTGTTGTATGTTGCTGAGTACATTTTGTGCTGGTTTCTCTTCCCTATTAGGTTGTATTCAGAGGCCATATAGGCAACAGAATGTCCTCTTGGCTTTCAAGCAAGGACATTCCTCTTCATAGGGTGGCTGCAGAGGGCATTTGAGATCTTGTAAATGCTACAAGGAATCTCAGATCTAAGCTGTGATATTTTGAGTCCCTGTTTCCCCAAGTCCTCATGAGTTTGGAATGGGGTTTGATTTTCCCAATCAGCGCCTGAGATGCAGATGTTATGAGAGACCTGAGGTTTGCTTCTGCTCTAATGCCTTTCTTATGCTGCAGGTGGACAGTGGGGGACCCTTGGTTTGCAGCTACTGGAACACCATGAAGTGGTTTCAGGTTGGCGTCATCAGCTGGGGAGACAATTGTGCAGCAAAGCCATATTATCAGTTCTACACTTCTGTCTACAACTACTATGAGTGGATCAAGACTGAGACAGCCACGATGGGGAAACCTTTCTTAATCGAAGGCATGGCTAAACATGTTGTGAGTACCACAGAGGTTCATTCTGAGGCCAAGGCTCAGCTGGTGTTTCCTGAGTCTGCTGTCCTTTTATTTGCTTCTCTAGTGGCAATTGGATTACTCTAGAGCAATTTTTTCAAAACATAATAAAAGTCAGAATGACCGTCTTCTGCTTTTGCTTCAGAACCATAAAGGTCAGCACGCTCCATCTCACTGAGGTGGATACAGACACCCAAGAGAGATGCTGCATTCATAGTAGAGGGTGATATAGGGCTGGAGACTTGAAAGGAGAGAGTCGGGACCAGATTTTCCAGGCCAAGACGTTTATATCTGGCTCAATCATTTGCTAAATCAGAAGAAATGTCAAGATGCAGCACCTCAAGGAAAGCTGAAACCTTAAGAAAGATCTTAGCTCACTCAGTTGCAAAGTAGTTTAGCTATGAGATAACTCTGGGTTAATATATCCTACAGCTAACTATCAGTTCATAGAATCATAGAATATCTTGAGTTGGAAGGGACCCATAAAGCTCATTGAGTCTAACTCCTGGCACCACCCAGCACCACCCAAAAATCAAACCATATGGCTGAGAGGGCTAATATGTCTTCTGTCTTCAAGTTGGACCAAACTAAGATTTCCAGATCAGGGTGGTGTGTTGAGCTGCTGGAAAGTGACTACATGTCAAACTCATCTATGTCTCCTTAAACTAGAAAAAGGACAAGAAAGCCATTGGGCAGTGTTGGAAGCTGTAGCTTCATCTAACTGGTTGGTCCTATTGATCTGGGTTGCAAGCAGTACCTTCATGTTTCTAAAGACACCGGGGAAAGAATCTGGCTGGCTGGAAGGAACTGCTCCAGAATATCCAAAAAATGCTGTCTTCAGAAGTCCCTTGTTTTAGTAATAAGCCAAAATGCATCCCTCACAAAAAACAAACAAACAAACAAACAAAAAAAACCAACATTCAATCAAAAGGAAATTACCTTCTTTTTTTCTCTGCTAAAGACCTGTTACATGCATTTCTGAGATGTCTGCTTCCCAGTTTGAACTGGGACTGAGCTGGTCATTCGTGGAATGCTGTCTTACACTCTTCAGGAACCAAGTGTGTTGTAAAACGCTTCCTGCTTTTCACAAGGAGATTGCTCTTCTTAAAAGCGATGGGGAAGAAGGCAAGCAGCAAGGTCTCCTTCATGTCCCACCTTTGCAACAGCATAAAAGCACCTGTAATTTGAAGCAGTGATAAAACTCAGTGACTGTGCAATGGGACAGAACCTCACAAATTGGTTTTAATTACCTTGATATTTTCTGGCTAGCTGATGGAGAAGGCTTGTAAATGAGAATTTATTCATCTACCTTAAGCTAATGCAAACCCATCTTGGCATAAAAGTCAGACTTCATTTTCTGTGTTATCTGAGCAGAAAATAATGCTTAATTATTATTAGTTCTGAGTAATGCTTATGAAAATTGTTGCACATTAATTTCACATGGCTGACTGGCTAATGGATGCATAAGGGTCTTGTAACCCTTTGCAAAAAGACTAATAAAAGCTAAAAACAAGGAGAATATATTACTGTAGCAGCTATTAGTAGTAGACGCTGTCTGCTGGCATTAATACCTATATTTATTTTCCTTTCTATTAATAATATATCAGCAGATTCTAGAGGCTATGGCAGAGGCTGGACATCAGGAAACGTTTTCTAATGCTGTAATCTATTCAACTACAGAACTGTTTCCCCCAAAGGAAACGAGAGATGTCCTACTGCTTGAATTGTGTTAATGTAGGAGTTGTATGAAGCACCCTTGTCTGCAGCACAAGGCATGAGGAAAGCCTTCTCTTCCAGGGATCTGCAGAAAGACTCAGTCAGTCTTTTCCCCCAGCAGCATTTGCAAAGTGATAGCGGTCTGTGTAAATGAGGGCAAGGCTCCTGGGTGATTACAGCTGCTCACTCCTTTGCTTGTTCTGCCATTGGTGTGCACAACTCCTCATGTTTATCACGGAATCACAGAACCAACAATGGAAAGACCATCTAAGATCATCAACCCATGCCTTACAAAATGAACCAGCCAGCAGGTGGATTCACTGCGTTCTATACTATCATGGAAAAACCTCTGAGTGTTTCCTACTATCTGTGTTGAAAGCATCTGCCTTCCATGTTCTTCTCTGAGAGGTGTTTTGCGTGTGCTAACGCTTTTTATATTCACAACCAGTTGCTTTCTGAGTGTCTCATCATGACTCATTGCTTCAAGGGCTTTTTAATATGCAATACACTTCGTTCCCGCAGCCCAGACCACTAAATGATTTAGTGTGTGACTGCAGTGGAGAGCTCTGCTTTTGACTCTTCTGCCAGGAAAGGTGAGCTTCAAGGCACCACGGGAAAGTAAAAGCTCCTCTTCCTCAAGGCTTATAAATTCATGATATGTATTAACACTGAATCTGAAGACATTAGTCATGAAGTAACCAACTCCAGGCCTAACTCGCCTGCCTCCAAATTAGGGAATGAGGAAGAAAGGATGGTGTGATGGGTTATGCACTGAATGCAGGCACGTGGGTATGAATTAATCTCTGCAGCAACCCTGTGAGATCCTAGAGGATATCCAGAGGGTTGCATGTGAAGAGGTCAAAGTCTTGAAACCTGAGATAATCCATTGTGAGCCATCTGAAATTCCTTTGAAGAACTGTCATTTGGAAAAGAGAGCTTTGGTGTCATGATAGAAGAGAATTTGGACTTGTGCTTTGAGTGCATTCGCCTATAGATGGGGATGCATTTTCTAACCACCGTTGTGAAAAACGTTGCTTCAACCCAAGTTTCTTATTCATTTAGGAAAAAGAAAACAGAGCTTTCACTGAAAAGGGTCGCCTAAAGCAAAAATTTGGGGAGCAGCCTTGTTCTGAATAGAATCATCAAAAGGTCCAAGGGGAAAATAAGAGCTGAACTGTTGACTATGAGCATGAGTTTACAAACAGCCCCTGAAGCAGCATGATGGGCTGGTGGTCTGCACATTCCGTTATTTCAAGGCACCCTAATAATTTACCTTGATTTACAACTTCCTGGCCAGAGTCTCAATCTAAAAGTGATACTGTGCAGAGCAGAGGTCTCTGTTAGGACAGGAGGGGACCCCTAGAGGGATGCAGCAACTTGAGGGCACTGGGAAGGTGGTGAGAAATCCCCAGCCATTGGAGTGTCACTGCCCCAGATATGCTCACAGCAAGCTCCAAGGAGGTGGAGTGTGAAGCTGAAGGTGGTTGTGTAGGGGAGCATGAAGAATCACTAAGTGTTTATTCGAGGCGGGCACAGTTGCAACAAGAGAGTTATTTTGCGGATGAGCAAGCATCTGTTGCTCTGTTTGCACGACTGGTAATGGCAGAATGAAACTATTCGTGCAGAATGGAGCCTCCCAGCAAATGCATGTTATCACATCCCAGGTGCCTGGGGTGTGGGTTCAGGGTATGCTGCCACTTGCAAATTCACCCGCTTCCAATGCCCGACGTTTGAACCTGCTTCCCTGAGGAACCTGACAGAAGGGAACATAATTCACTCCAGAATCCCCCTGCATACAGATGTATGATCTCTCAGTGTCCTTTGTTGGTTGTTCTTCTAAGTGCCACAGGGACTTTCATACTGGGTCTGCTATGGGATGGAGCTAGTTTTCTTCATAGCAGCTTGTATGGTGTCTTAGATTTGTGGTCAAAACTGTGTTAATAACACACTGACGTTTTAACTGTTGCTAAACTCTGCCTGCACAGCATCATGTCTTCCTCTGCTTCTCATGCTTCTCAGTGAGCAGGCATGGGGTGCACAAAGAGCTGGGAGGGGATGCAGCCAGGACAGCAGACCCCAACAGACCAAAGAGATATTTCATACCATATGATGTTGTACCAGCATTAAAAGACAGCAGAAGAAAGAGAAAAGGGCCACATCCAAGATTATGGCATTTGTCTTCATAACTATTACACATGATGGAACCCTGCTTTCCTGAAAATGATTGAACGTGCTCCTGCTGATGAGAAGTGGTGAATGAATTCTTTGCTTTGCTCACGTGCACCACTTTGCTTCGCTTGTTCAACTGTCTTTGTCTCAACCTATGGGTCTTCCTTTTTCCTTTCTGGTTATTTCCCCCATCCAGCCTGGGGCTGCCTACCTGGGTTAGCCCCCAGCACACTGCCAAGGTACTGGTGCCTTGTAAATGGCCACCAAATTTGACATTACACCAGGTCTTTCACTAACGTTTGTTAAGGCATCCAAACCTCATGGACCATTAATGAAGCATTTAAATCCGCTCTTGCAGGCTCTTACATAGGCTTCAGGAAACTTCATTGCATCTCATAGTCTCATAGAATCATTTGAGTTGGAAGGGACCTTGGAAGGCCATCTGGTCCAATGGCTCTTCAATGAACAGGGACTCCTACAGCTCCATCAGTGCTCAGAGCCCCATCCAGCCTGATGTTAAATATCTCCAGGGATGGAGCACACATCACCTCTCTGGACAACCTGCACCAGCACCTCACCACCCTTACTGTTATCTACCCTGCAACGAGCACACAAACATTGTGGCATCCACCTCATTGAATCCACATATCAAGCCTCTGAGCTGATCCAAGCTGCCTCCTGGCAACAGTTGATGTTTTTTAGTTTGTTCTAAAGCAGGACCAGAGCTGGCAGTGAGCTGTGTGCCTGTACACACTCAATGCTGATTTACCAGCACAGAGCTATAGGTTGTGCATCGTTCCCTCCTCCAAATCCAGCTTCATTTCTAGTGCTCATGCAATAACTTCTGCTCACTGCCCATCTCCAGCATCCTCCTACCAGCCTGGCAGTTTCACCCCAGACATAAAACCGTTATTCAAACCCTCAAATGGGCTCAAAAAATACCGTTTGGTGTTCCGTTTCTCCCACTGTGTTTAGAGGCACACTGAGTCACTGCTGAAAAGGGTTCTGACTGAACTGCTGCCTGCAGTTACAGCAAGGGGTTGCACCACAAAACTTCTCAATGCTACCTACGCTCCCACTCAGCTGCCAGGATTTCAGAGCACGATTATAGGCTAAGTATACAATGAGGAAAGGGAACGGTACCATCCCACTGTGATCTTGCAGAGAACCACTGAACTGTTCTTTAATAAAGGCAAATTGTTTTCTGCTTTGCTGCATAATCAACCTCTGATGATTTCGACGGGAGAAATCCCAATTA